TGAAATCAATTTGAATTAAATACTTTATTCATTATAATAAATATTTTTATTCGTTTAGCCTGCGATGAATAATAAACTAAATATTTTATTACTTAAACCTAGGATAGATAATGAATTAAGTATTTTGTTACTTAAACCTACGACAGATAACGAATTAAATATTTTTGCTTATTATACCTGCGATGGATAATGTGCAAAATTTGATAATGGATTATCATTCATAACCCATCCATTACATGCCATTATTTTTTCAGCTGTTTCATTGTTGTAAGCAAATTTCTCCTCATCTTTCCATGAAGACAGTGATGGAAATGGTTGTACAAAATATCTAAAAAAAGAAAAACGAAAACTTTCCAATAAATTAGAAAGATAGCTAATATAATATCAATTAATTTCTTATTTACTTACTATAATTTAATCATCTATTAATAATTCAAAAACAATGAAAAAAAAATTGCGGTAATAAAGTTTTAAATCAAACAATGTATAAATGCAAAAATAGAATAACCAATTAGGAGTACCATATTTTTATATTTATTACTTTTAACATTTTTAAAAGTTATTTTATTTTGTTATAATTTGCAACAGTAACAATCAATTTATCCACCAAAAAAATCCACCTAATTCTAATTGATAAACACATTTTTTTTTCAATGATTAACAAGTTAATCTTATATTTATTAAAAAGATGATAAAAAGAGGAAAAATTTTGAAATTTATAAAAATTTTAATTGAGCAATTGATGGCACTTACTGAATGATATATACATATGTACATACTTACTGGATGACATATACTTATGTACATAATTACTGGATAATATATACTTACTGCGTGACAAGCCCGAAAATCTCGGTTAATTCACGTCGTTTCGGTCCCGACTGATCAATTCGTTCATAAGAAATATGACCAGCACAAGCTTGCAATATATTTTCATAAATTTCTGCACCTGTTTTCAATGCTTTTTCATTGAGGAATTGAAGATGTGCTCGAAATGCTTCCAAACACTTCCATTGTCTATCTTTCTCATCACAAGCATCATTCCTTCAATGCAAAAATTGAAATTTGCAAAGTTTCATCTAAAATAAATTTTCGAACTTTATAATCAAATGTTAACTTCATTTTAACACTATTTACTAGGCTATTGTTTAAAGTATTGGAAATGTTGAAAGAGCCAAAAAGTTTGAAAATGTTAGAAGAGTTTTATAATTAAAATTAAAATTTGATACCTTTCTCTGTTAAAAATCATATTTGCATGATTCATGTCAACGATGAAGCCAAATCGATTCCAGTTCAATCCTGGCTTTGATTCTAACATTTCATCTCGTACTTCTGGAGATGCTCCTTCTAAATATTATTATGATTAAAAATAAAATTCATCTAATAAAAATTTAAATAAATTTTTGAAGAAAATTTTTGCTTAAAAAATAAGTAAGTTATTATAAGTAATACAATTGTCTTTTCCGATAGTGTATAAATTGAAAAATTCATGAATTGACTTTCTAGAAAATGATGCTAACCATTCAGCATTATCTTTAAGCTTTCGATTAATTTTAACAATTAATAATATTTTTCAATATTTTTAAATACCTTCCACATATTTTTCAAATTCTGTCACCATTTTCTCAATATCAACTTGAAAGAATTCGTGAACTCTCAATTGTGGTAAAATTTCATTGCGCAAAATGTCAAGGATAGTCTAAAAAAAAAAAAAAAAAAAAAAAAAAAGAATGAAAAGGAATAAAATGAAAAACTGAAATTTATCAAATATTACTAATTAAATTTGCTGAATATTATTAATTTAAATTATTAAAGCAATCCAATAATATCTAACATACTCTTAAATGTTCAACACTATTAATTTCCTTGCTAAGATTTCGATTCTTATATTTTCCATTCATAATATCCATACCAAAATGATATAAAAGTCGATCAAGAATATAAGCTGGTCGCAAATGTGGGCTATTTTTTAAATTATAAGCGCATTCTGGATGTTCCTAAAAACAACAAAAAAAAAAAATAATAATAATAATTATAAATTATTATCAAAAGATATATTCCATTTCTTTACATAATTCAATTAAAATTAATCAATTAAATAATACTTATATTGGTATAATTAATAAACTATTGCTAATGCATAAAGTTTATAGATAATATAAATTAAATTAATAAAATAGTACTTATAATTGTTGACAGTAATAGCAAAATGAATTTTAATTTAATATCAAAATGATAAGAATAGACAATGTAACTTACTAAAAGCCATAAAGCATTACGAGCTGCATGATTCCATACAACATCTTGTATTGATAATAAATGATAATCTTTTTCGAGATTTTTTATTAATATTGCCAAATCGTCATATGTATACTGTTTTCCCTGTTTAAATAAATTATTTGAAATTTAAGCTTATTAATTAAACGGATAAATTTTAAGCTTAAATAATAAAATTAATTGGAAAAAAATATCATTGCAGAAAAGCATTGAATGTGATAATAGTTCTTTGTATATGAAGTTCATATATATTGATAAATTGTTTTAGAATAGCGCAAATAAATTTAATTATTGATTAAATTTAATGGAATAATTAATAAGCTATTGCTAATACATAAAGTTTGTAGATAATATAAATTAGATTAATCAAATAGCACTTATAATTGTTAACAGTAATGGCAAAATGAATTTTAATTTAATAGCAAAATAATAATTAAATTTAAACACTTTATTTATAAAAAAAATTAATTCATTCTAAGCAAACTTACGGCTGTATTGAAATTCGGATTCAATTGCATTGGATCAGCAATACAATAACTAAAATAAACAGTCAATGATTTCATATATAAAACTTTTTAAAAACAATGCAAAATTATCAAATAAGAATTAAGAAGAAAAAAAAAAAGAGCTAAAATCTATATTTCATATAAGTGGGATAATTTTAAACTTTAATTTGTCAAAGTCTAAATTTAAATCGAAGGAAAATACTTTAAAATGTATTAAAATACAAAAAAAAAAAATAAAGAAGAGAAAAAGATGTAGAATATAAAATAAATAAATAATTAACAATACTTTAAGATTATGCAAATTTGTTATTTTTAAAATGAAATATACCTGCTATTTGAAATTCCAAGTTGTTGAACAGGAGTGAAATGAATCATATTATATTTTGCTTTTGCAGCTATTTGTAAACGTTTCTCCCACAAATCAAATGTACCAAGAAGTTTTGAGATATGTGTGATACATGTTACTGCATTCAGAAGTAATGGATGTTTATTGAGGAATAAAATTGGCATAACCAGAATGTATCCACTACCAGCTATTTTACTAAAAATTTTCTTTCTCTTTTTTTTCAGCCATTTTCGTTTTTTTGTTTAAATTAATTAATTAATTAATTATATAAAGATTGATTTTGAGAATAAAATTTAAATTTAAATAATAATAATAATACCTTTCATTATCAACAATAAAATGATATGAGAAAGCACCAGATTGTTCACATTTAATTTCAGCAAATGTTGCAAATTCATCACTACCCTCATTCCAGGATATCTTACCCGAAATTGACGTAAAGACGTTCACATCACGTCCCAAAAGACTTGAACCACGAACAAAACGTACATACCAGCCTAGAATTATTTTAAAATTATTGAGCTAATTATCATTTGAAAAGATCACATACAAAAAAAAAAAAAAAAAAATATGTGAAATTAAAATATATGGAACTATGAAAATATAATTTGAAACTTAAAAAAAAAAAAACAATTGCTATCAAAACAATTCCTTCCGTTTCATTTACAAATTCATAGCGTTCCGTTTCATTACAAACCTTCATAAATTGAAATTTCATATTTTTTTCAAATTTCAATATTTCTTTCAACATTTTAATTCCATTCATAAAACAATAAGCAATAATAAAAGAATAATAAATAATAAAAAATAATAATTTAAAAAAAAAATCATTTCTTTTTCAGTTTATTTCAACATAAACATGCCAAAACAAAGAACTAATATAAAATATCAAACCTTTCTGGAAACGAAATACTAACTGGTCAAGATCATCACCATAATTAAGAGTGATAATACGCGTTTCCGGTTTCCGATTTTCATCGGTATCACTCTTTGATAAATTAACAGTTTCAGTTAAACACATAATGTTTAAATATACAAGTGCAAAGAAAGCTAAAATAATTAGTCTAAAGAGGATGAAATAATTTGTTGATGAATTGAACAAAAGATATTTGCAGCGTTGAAAATAGCAATTTATCAATTAATTTTAAAAATTTTCGACTCCCTTCTAAATATTTAATTTAAACAGAAAATTAAATTAATGTAAAATACATTTTCTTTTTTTTTAGTAAAAAATAAAAAATAAATAAAACAATCAATCAATAATCAGTTATATTGTCGATCTTCTTTTTTTTTCTTTTTGCAGGAAAGCAAGAAATTATTAAGAGCAAAATTCATTCTAATTAAAAATAAAAACCAGAAATTTAAACTGCAACCGAAAAAAAAAAACAAAAACAAAAATTTTGATTTAAAAATTTAACGAAAAAAAAACAAAAAAAAAAAGAATGTAAATGAATTGGCTTTTGATGTTTGTATAGAAAGGAAGCAAAACGAAGTGCAGCACAGCAAAATGATACACAAGAAATTTTCAATCTAACTAATCGATTTATTTCTATGCTTCTCACCTCCCCCCTCCCCCCCCTTTCTCCCTTTCGTCCGTCACGTGTCACGTGCATTCTGAGGAATAATTCACATTTGATATCATACTTTTTTTTTTGTCAGGCTGTTTACATTATAGATTGAAAAAATAAGCTTAGAAAAAAGAAATTATTTAGCATTTATAATATTGTAATTGAAATTTAAAAATATATTATAATCGAAGCTTTATTTGAAATTATCGTAATTTAAATTTAAATAATATTGCAGTTGCAAGTTAAAAATAGGGTGATTTCTATTTTGACTGTAAATGAATGATAAATAGTATACCAAAATTAATGACCGTATGGAATGGTCATAGGGATGGCTACGTGAATGACCACAGGGTTGGCTATGTAAGTGACCACAGGGATAGCTACGTGAATGACCACGGGGATGGCTACGTAAATGACCACAGGGATAGCTACGTGAATGGCCACAGGGATAGCTACGTGAATGACCACAGGGATAGCTACGTGAATGACCACAGGGATGGCTACATAAATGACCACAGGGGTAGCTACGTGAATCACCACAAGGATAACTACGTGAATGACCACAGGGATAGCTACGTGAATGACCACAGGGATGGCTACATAAATGACCACAGGGGTAGCTACGTGAATCACCACAAGGATAGGTACGTGAATGGCCACAGGGGTAACTACGTGAATGACCACAGGGATGGCTACGTAAATGACCACAGGGATAGTTACGTGAATGATCACAATGCGGGTGACAATAATACTATTTTAAGTAGCAAAAACAAAAGAGGCATATTTGGGAATGAAAAATTTGTTTATTTTTAATGCTAATGCTTTAAACTATTGAAATATTTTTAAAGTCATTTCAAAAATAACTATAAGCGGTTTTTTTCTTTTGTTTATTAATTATATATGATTATAGGAAGTGTTAGTGAATTAAAATTAGTTTAATTTCTTACTTTTGAAGTATATTCATTATGTTGTATTGCATTAGAGAGTTCATTTTCACTATATTTCATAGTGTCACATCGAATTTCCGAATTAATCTTTTGAAATTGTCCGATAGTTTTTGTTGTTTCCTTAATTCATATTTCATTTGTGTGTTTTTAAAAATTAAAAATAAGAGGCAAAAATTTCCTAATCTGTCACCATCAATCTTTTAGTATTGCGTAAATTGTAAAACATTTAATTAATAAAATTAATTACTTCATAAAATCTAACTCAGTCTATTCTCCAAAAATAAAAAAGTAAATAATAATTAAATCTCAAAAATTCAATTTCTTTATAAAATCAAGTGGAATATATTTATGATATATTTTGCAAGAAATAATATTAAATAACAAATGATGCAATTGTTTAATTAATTTTTCTATTCAGGTAGAAATAATAATTCTTAAAGAAAATAGAGTAAACAAAGTAATCATTCCGGTTTATTTCTTTCGTTTTCTTCTGTCACAAACTTTTCCCTTTTTTTTTTTTTTTTTTTTTTAAAGATAAATTTGTTAATATTAAATAGAAAATTATTAAATTTATTTTATCTGTTTTTTTTCTCAAATTTTAGTATTTTTATTAAAATGTGCATTTATTTTTAGCATTAAGCAATTAGTTAGTAATATTTTTATTTTTATTCCTTCTAACTGTCACATTTTTGGAAAAAAAAAAGAGTGCTGAAGAATTATTATTTCAAATATATAAGTTTTCAGGTACATTTGAACAGCTGATATTTCCCAATTATACAATATAGAGAGAAAGAAAGAGCGAGAGAGAGAGAGGGAGAGAGAAGAAAGTTAAAAAAGAAAACGATAAAATGTAAGTAAAAAAAAAAGTAAAATGAATTAGAAATGACAAAAACAAAGTTTGAAGGAGAATTTTTTAATTTTAGAAATTTTTTTTCTTTTTTTTTTAGAAAACAAAATCTTTTGTTTCTCAAATTTCTTCAGATCATATAAAATAATGCTAAAGCTAAATAATTTATGCTTTAAAAAAAAAAAAAAGAATAGAAAAAAAAAAGTTTGACTTACCAAATTTCTTCTTATTCTTAAAATTTTGAATGGCATTTTAAACAATTGCAACAATAACAACAATATGCAGTACACTAATTATTATTTGATGCTAATTATATTCCATCTGATAATTTCTGTAATAAAAGCAAAATTTTAATAATATTCCTTGTTTAGTTTTTTTGGATTATAATATTTGTTTATTAAATCGAAATTGGAAAAAATGGAAAATATAATTTATTTCAGTTTATTACTTTATTATTACTCCCATATGTTTATTTATTTCTCCAAAAAAAAAGCTATTTATTTCCATTCAAGTACTAAATCATTTTAAAAATAATTATAAACTTTTTAGACTAAATAACTGTACATTTATTTAGATATCTGATTAATTAGAAAAATAAAATATCGAAAAGAATTAGGTGAAAAAATTAAAAAAAATGAGGGAAGAATTGACAAAATAACTTATTATAATAATAAAAAACTAATTAATAATAAAAAACTAAATTATTATAATAAAGTAATAAAAAATTATAATAATAAAAAGCTAATAACAGTTTAGCCATTCATTGATTATTTGCTAATTTAACCATTTGAAATAGCTAAGCAATTTAAAATGATTTAAAAAGCAGTTTAACATATTTGTAACTTTACACATTTAACGAAATAACGGAAGAAAAGCTACACAATGCTTTTTTTTTTTTGTAATTGCTATCATTTATCAGTAAACAGTGATTATTGATCATTTTCATCTTTCTATCATTTCTTATCATTTTGAGAAAAAAAGAGATTATACTACAATTTTAATATAGTTTATTAAAAAAACATTTGATTAATAAAATTAATTACTTCATAAAATCTAACTCAGTCTATTCACCAATTCATAAATTATTTTTTTTTTTAATTTCATAAATTATTTGGATCAAAAAAAAAAAAAAATGAATAAATAATTTATTTGAATGATTAGTGTGTATGATCAAAGTGAAAAAATTGATCAAAGTAAAAAAATTATGATTTATAGGTGTATATTAATAATAAAATTACGTTTAATATGAAATTAAAAGTGGTTAATTACAAATTATAATATAAATTTCTAATTTATTTCTATAGCGTTTTTATTTTTTGAATTGCATATTTAATTAATTTATGTTATTTGCTAATTTTCTTTTTTCTTTGGATAATATAATTTCATGAATAATTACTACCACTCTTAATTTATTATACTGTGTAATGCAAATTTCTAATTTAATTCTTTTTTTTCCTAATTTTTTTTTTATTTCCTAAATTATTATCATTAAGGATGCGAATAATTAATTAATTAATTATTAGTAATTACTTATTACAACGATTATATTAATTTATTAAAATTTGTATAGCTTTTTAATAAGAGTTATTTGAATAATTTGCTAAAATTAATTGTGTTATTTTTGATTAAATATTTTTGATGGTTCACTGTTTACAAACTATTTATGCACTGCTTATTTTAAATCAGAAATGATTTACTGGAAATGATTAATTCTATTCACAAATGAAATGGATTATGAATATGTTTGAATTGTACTTTATTAATAAAATTATAACATTCCTTTTTTAAATTTATTTCAAATTTTAAAAAAAATTTAATTTTCATTCATACATTGGTAATTACTGGAATTCTTGGCATACCCGTCATCACAATAAAATGCCCATATTTTATTTTGGGTAAGAAAAGTAATTTATTATAATATATATTGATGAAATGCCTGTGTTGTATTTTGGGTAGGAAAAGTAATTTGAAATGCTCATGTTATATTGTAATTTATCATAATATACACTAATGAAATGTTTATGCCTTATTTGGGGTAAGAAAACTATTTTAAAATGCCCATGTTATATTTTGGGTAAGAAAAGTAATTTATTATAATATACACCGATGAAAATATTTATGTCGTATTTTGGGTAAAAAAAGTAATTCATCATAATATACACTGATGAAATGTTTATGCCGTATTTTGGGTAAGAAAAATAATTTAAAATGCCCATGTTGTATTTTGGGTAAGAAAAGTAATTTATTATAATATATACTGATGAAAATGTTTATGTCATATTTTGGGTAAAAAAAGTAATTTGAAATGGTGCGATTTTAGGTAAGAAATGTGGTTTTGGGTAAGATATTAGTAGAGAAAAAAAAATCTAATTCCTTTCTAACTTTAATAACATGAAAAAAAAATCTAACTTTAATAATATAGAAAAGAAAATGTCATATATATTATATTAATAAAATTATTCAGTCCCTCTTTTCATAAGTTTAATCGACAAATAATTATAATATATTAAAAGAGATAGAATTATATGATAAAAGAGAAGCATGAATGATTGTTTGTTTGATAAGAGATATTCATCAATCATTTCACTATCATTTGCCATTATTATTCACATTATCAAAAGTGAATTTATCATTTTTTTTATCTATCAAATGATTTTAAAAATTTTAAAAGCTAATCATTAATCAATCAATTAATCAGTAAAATCTGCTTCCAAAAATTTAACTCATTTATTGTGTAATGATAGAAAAAGTTACCTGTATTTATGCATATTTGTGTCTTTTCTACTGTAGTCATAGGTTAATAAATAAAAATTTGAATAGAGCTCAAAGATAAAGAAAGAGATCAAAGGTGCGATCAGTTTTCTAAATTTATGATCAATTTTTTAAATTTCAAAAAAGATTGTGTCTCTATTTGATATTGTTATAAAATAAACTCTCTTAATGAGTAGAAACTAATAAGAAATTGAATATTTCAACATTTAATAATAAGAGATATAATTTATTATTTAGTTTTTCGATTAACTATTTCTCGAGAAAGAAACTCTTTTTAAAATGAAAATTAATTCTTTTAAAATCACATTTGTATGTTTATTAGTTGAATTGTTACCACAATCTCTGAACAATAATTTAATGAAACTGATAATTTAATGAAATTTTTCAATGATATTGAAAAAGAATTAATTTTCAAATATTAGTTTACTAATAATATAATTATTTCTATTTACTAAGGAACAAAGTGGACATCGATGATTGATCAATATTATTTTCATTCAATAAAATTTAATTCAATTGTGGATAAATTGACCAAAGGCGTATGTCCATTTCATCCGCTGTTGTCCACTCATTAGCTAAATCATATGTCAATGGCCTTAGATCGAGTAATTCACTTTTAAATTATAAAATTTTATAGAATTCTTTTTGCTTCAACAAAAATAAACTCCGGAAAACCGATATATTATTATGATAAATTGACATTTTCGGTTAAAATTTAATATTTTTTTTTTTATTAGCAAGAATAATTATTAATTTTTTTTCTTTTAATAAGATTTACTTATTTCATTAAAATTTTTTTTCCTACAATATATTAAATAATATTTTTGCTGATTTTTTTCTTGACCTTTTTTTTTTTGTTGACCTTTGTTGATATTCATCCATTGGTTGTAGCTGAGTAATTGAGGTCATGTTAACTAAATTGTACAACCATAACCAACAACTTAACTAAATACCATTTAATGATGTCCATCCACTGATTATGCTCTGTTCCAGTAATACCAAGGTCATATGTAGGTCAATTACACTTCAACCAGGTGAAATATCATTTATTTTCTTCATTGACTGACTGTGTAATATGAAAGGAATTGTGAGGTCAAGCTCACCTGTACAATCATTTAACTTAGATATTGATCTATTCATTAGCAATGACCTATATGAGTGACCTTAATGTGAAATAATTTAAAACATTTCGTAGTCTCATAAATTATTTTTTGATGTGTACTTCATTCGCTTTTTTTCTTCAAATACTGAATGAAAAATTTTTTTGGTTCTGCAATTTCATTTTTCTCATTAATTTACTATTAGGCATATTCTCTCTCTCTCTCTCTCTCTCTCATCTCTCTCATTAAGCTTATTTTGTTAAAATTTAATTATGCATAGTAATTAGTAATTTCTCTCCTAAAAGCTTTTTTCTCTTTTTTCATTTCCATCGATGATCTCATAGATTTTTGAGTCTAACTCTATTTCAAATTCATTTTAAAAAAAATTTTAAAGAAAAAAAAAAACTTCCCAAATTTTACCAATATCTCTTGTATCACTAAAGCAAAACATTTTTTGTATTTGACTTTTCATTTCTTCCTCTAATTTTTTATATTCCTACTTTTGCATTTCAATCTTTCTACAAAAAGTTTCTCTATCACTCATTTCAGGTGACCCAGAAATGATAAGCGCTAATTAGGATTCTTCTTTTTTTTTAAAATCTCTTTTTCAAAATCTTCTGCATTAATTAATGAATATATTTATTTTTTTCAAGGATATTAGCATTAATTTTAAGTAATCTATAGCTTATATCATCATAATGAGTAGAATTAGATGCAGTAGAGCAAATTAAATAATAAAATGAAATTGAATATTTAGTATAAGTATTTAGTATAAAATATACAAGTTAAGAAAAATTAAATCAGTGAAAAAAACTTTTCTCCAATTATAGATAATTTCATCTGAAATTCTATATTCATTCTATATTTCTTTTGATATATAAATGACTTTTGATCTTTGATATTACTTACCATTTTATAAAATTATAAAAATTCTAGGATATTGAATACTATTTTTTCATTTCATATTGATTTTTAGATATTGAATTTGATATTGAATTTTTACTCCTTCATTTAATATTGAATTTTTTTTAGTTATTATAATATAATTCTATATCATTAAAATTAAGTGAAGTAAAGTAAGGTAAAGTAAGTGTCATTTATTGCTATTTACAATTGACTATATCTAAATGCAAATGACCTTTAAGGTCATGTAACTCAGATTGTAAACCAATCGATTTTTGCAGTGCTTCAAAGAGAACTTCAAAGAGAAATGAGTGCTTTATATAAGAGTGATCATAAAAATGAATGACTAATAAAAGTATCGTTCAATTGCAAATAGTAATAATACCGAAATATTCTGTCACCTGAGAGAGAGAGAGGGAGAGAGAGAGAGGAGAGAGAGAGAATTATGCAGAGGACTACTTTATTTCCTCTTGTCTGTTGCAACATATTCAAATGAGAATGACCTCAAGGTCAAATCTTAAAAATATAGTCAAAGCAATGTTGTGTTGGCATTCTTTTCTTTCTTTCTTTCTTTTCTTTTTTCATCACACAAAGCTAATATTTTATTTGTTGAAAGTTATTTCTCATTTTAATACAGCAAATGCATTTGTTGTTTTTACTATTTTATTCTGTCATAAATGAATGTTTCGTCTCTCTAAAAAAAAAAAAAAAAAAACAATTTCAATATTTCTACAGTTCACTTATTAATCACATAGTTATTTATTTTAATTGAAATATTTGCATAAATTGATGTAAGAGATCTAAAAAGTAATATTACAGCGAAAAAAAGGATTCAGTGAAATGTGATAGTATATTTTGAAATTAATCACTTTGGTATAATAATAATAATGATAATGATTAATAACAACAATGATAATAGTAATAACAATATAAAGATTAATAATAATAAAATAATAATAGTAATAATGATAATAATAATGATAATAATGATAGTGATAATGATAGTAATGATAATGATAATAATAATAATAGCAATAATAATAAATGGCAAAATGCTCTTCTAAAAAATTTTTTTATTATAGTTATTATTATATTGTTTTATTCTGAAAAAACTTTCATTATAGTAGCCTTCATTAATCATTTTAAGGTACCGACGAAGATTTCATAAAATTACACTTGCTAAAATTATCAATTTCATGACAATCTTTTTTTTCTGCTAAATAGAAGAATTAGTAAGAAATCATTTAAATTCATAAAAAAAAAAAGAAAGAAAAAAACTCATTTAAAACAATTAGTAAAATCAAAATTATCTTACCATTATTTATAAACAGCAAGTTTTGTCACTGAAATTTTTCTCTTCTTTGATTTGTTACATTACAACAAGCAGTGACAAACTGTAATTCCTTAAACTCTATCACTTCTCGTTTTGTTTACCTTTGTGATCAAATTACTACTACCACTTATTCATTGATCAAACAAATCACCAGGACGACTTGTTGCATAACTACCACGGTTAATTTATGTTACTTTGACAGGAGTGGTTTTATGCCGATTTCGCATTTCAATTGCTTGGTTGGGCGCTTTTGTCGCGTGTTGGAGTGAGATGGAGGGTGGTTACACTTTTGTGGGGATAGTGGTGATTGAGTGGTAGTTGTATGGTAAGATGAAATATACGAGGTAGTTAAACAACAATAGTTGTATAAAAAATCAAGTACACATGATTGACTATCATCGATTCCTCATAATTTATGACTGAAATGTGATGCCATATTATCATTTTGTTATTTATTTATAGCATTCACGTGATGATCAATCATTTTGATTACTCTATAATTATTTAATTAAGTAATTGTCTGTCTATTTATACTACATAAAATTGACGAGAAAATAATGGCAGGCGTGAAATATTCTTCTCTTATTCAAGATTATGCATTGTTGATTATTTAAGTGGATTGTTAGGCTGTAGATATAACTGCTGAACTTTGATGTGTATAAGTCTTATTATTATTATGACCTAGATTACGTTAAGGTTTGCTAATTTTTAAGCATATCCGTACGTTGTTAGCTATTTCAGGTTATTATTAAAAGACATGGCTGTAACAACAGCAAGTACTGCACCACCACTTCCTAATCTGTAAGTTGTATAATCTTTTCAACCATTAATTGAATGTAATATTTGTGATTTAACGATCTCAAGTCCAGTGATATACAGTAATGTAGTGATACAGCTGATCAACTTTACAGAAAGTAGAAATAGTAGCTAGAAATTTTCGGGGTTAATTGCGAATACGAAATTCTTTGTGCTTTGGATGTTACGCAGTTCTAATTTTTTTTTCTTCAATTTATTGTTATTAGTATAAGTATAATTATTATTTATTGCAGAAGTTCTATTTCTGCTATTGGTAGTTGGGCTGAAGCAGTTGAACAAGAGAGTAAGTCTTGTCCTTTTATAACTTTCTTATTTGATCGCTTTTTGTCATTCAGCTATTATTAAATCAGATGTAAAATGCAACACACGCAATTCTATAAATCCAATGTTAGTCGACTCTGTAGAGCCATGAAATCAAGATATTTTTTTGACAGTCTAGTTGTATCGAACAAATAGTGGAATTTTTGAATAGTTCCTCAACTGTATAAGATGAGACTTGACTGGAGGAAATACTTGTTCTCCATATTTAAAGTTTTTTGCTGTGGCATATTTTGACTAACTGTTTCAGCTTTGGGCGGGGCTCATGAATCAACAAAAGATGGTATTAAAATTGTTACTGATATTATTTCGGATGATACTGGCAAATATAAGGTTAGCAAAGTCGATGAAATTATGGTTTTAATGTCAGCGATCATAAAAAGAATTATCATTGTGAGAAAATGCTAGAAGAGTTAAGTTAAAAGTGAGGTAAAGGAGATTTTTGGTTTTCCACTATATGTACATATGACAGGTTGTGACAACTTTCAAAGTTGTGACGAAAAAGGTGTCAAGACCGATAGCAGAACGGAAGAAATGGAAGAAATTCGGGCAGTGTAAGAACGATGGTCCTGGACCGCATGTGTCCACAACTTATGTGGCTGAGGAAGTTCTTATGCAGTTCATTAGAAATCGTGCCGGTGAAGTAAGTTTACTCTGATATGTCTCTTTCTTTATTTTGTAGATTTTAAATAGTTGGAAATTCAGTAACTGCATTTTAGCAACAACTCGATATCGGTGATGAAGGAACTAAAGTTGCAACAACAACGGGAGGATCATTCACTCATTGTCGTTACTGCAAAGTTAGTTCCTTAAATTTGATGAATTTCTTTTTTGTAAAATTTACTTGTTACCATATATCAAAGGATTAAAGCCACTTTCTTTTTTGATCTTTAAGAAGATTGTATACTTAAAAAACTTAAAACACTTAATTTAAAGAAATTAATTGCATACTTGATCAAGAAATTAAGTGCACACTTAGTCATATTTCAATAATATTATGAGCGTTTGATCACTTTGATTACGTAGAGTGTTTACAAACCAATATTTGGAAATCGGTTTTAGTCAGATGAGCACTGGTCTGTAAGTTGTCCATACAAGTCAATGTATGCGAAAGATGATGAGGAGGATTTGGAAAGTAAAGAAAAAGATACAAAACTTGGTCCAACAGTGCCAGGATCAGGTAAATATGTAGCACCGGGGATGCGTGGAGATCGTCCAGCGGTTACAGGAGGTGCAGAAAGAAGGTCCGAGGAAAATACATGCAGAGTTACAAATCTACCAGAAGAGTGTGATGAAATGGTTAGTTTATTTGTGGAAAGCTGAGTTACATTAATTTCCTTTGTGGAACATTATTTTAGTGTTCATATTTAGTTGTGAAATGCCATTACTGCTGATCTGGGGGATTTTTTAAATGTTATATATAACCTGGAAGTTTTCGGTTATTACTTTTAATTTTAAAATGCATATCGGGAGTTGAACAAAGATAATGAATTTTAAAAAATGATTAAACAATAATTCTAGGAACTTCGTGCTTTATTCGGTACTGTGGGTACCGTAAATCGAGTCTTTATTGCGAAGGATAAACATACGAATAAACCGAAAGGTTTCGCTTTTGTCACATTTGAACATCGCAGTCAAACAGAAGCTGCAATACAGAAATTGAATGGGTATAAGTTGGATCACCTCGTGCTGAAAGTTGAGTGGACAAGGTTTGTTTGATTTTATTATTCGTATAATATTAAATTTGTCATTTCATCTGTCATATTAGTTCAGTTGCCAACCGGTTACTGACTATTATTGATAAAGGACAATGCAATTTGAAATGTTAAGCTGTGAATTAATTTTATGTTAAGCCATCGAAAAGCATTTTTCTTTTTGCATCATACTGCCGCCGTGAAGTCTTTTTGTACTACGGTAATGATTTTGTCAACAATCTCACTGTTACGAAAGTGAAAGTGATTTTCAAATTTCCGGTAAAATCACATTCGCTGAATAATTATTTTTCATTTTAGACCAAACAATTAACAGGACTCTTCGACGGTTGTGCTGTTTGAAGTTGACTGAAATTTGGAATTCTATGATTATTATTTTGTTATATTAATTGTGGTGATGATTTGAATAAAAAATACAATGACCTTCGTTTTTTTGTATGATTGGATGAAAGTTTCTACCAGTACAAACATTTACTGAGGAATTATAATTATATAGAAGGGAATAAAATCTTTTTTTTTTTCTTTTTTTTTTAAGTCAGAAATTTATAGTTCTTTGCAGATTCTATAAGTTGAAATTGGAAAACAAAAAGATGCAGAAAGAAAAGAAAGAACACAGATAATTTAGTTTACCCGCTGGATGTGTTTTTTATGATTATTGCAATGATTTTCAGTAACAGTGGAAATAATAGCAATAAATTTGTAAATTATATTTTTTAGGAGATCGATACAATAGTGAAATTCGATTGCTTGAGATGGGTTTACTTACAATTTTGAAGAAACAGCGTTTGAAGGAGAAGGAATTGCGAATATTGGTCCTTGGTCTTGATAACAGTGGAAAAACAACTGTGGTGAAAAAACTGAATGGTGAAGAGGTTAACGAAATTGCACCAACTTTCGGTATGCTTAGTATATTTTAGATAACGTATAATTTTTATGGTCAACTTTTGTTGAATTAATCGTTTTTAAAGATGTAGCCTCCAGTTTTATTTCCAAACTTTTTGCAACTCTTCAAAAAGCCAAAAATTTCAAGTCGCAGTTTTCAGGAGTTTCGGTAACTTACTGCTGTTAGATCGTTTAATTAATGTATGTTGTGATCGTAACATTAACCTTGTAAAAGAAACATTAAAGTCAACAAGCTGTTAAATTATTCAAACAGAATCAATCACTGGTTGATTGATCGTTAATTGTTTCGTTTCTAAAACATAAGATTACTTTTGCATAAGCATTACCGAACTTCCTTTTACTCACGCAATACAAGACCAGTGATATGGATTTTCTAATGTGCATCTCCATTGTTTGGTCATGCAAGTTGCGGCATATAGGTTTCAATATCAAAACATTGCAATACAAAGATATGAAGTTGAACATGTGGGATGTCGGTGGACAAAAAAGTTTACGGTCATATTGGCGAAATTATTTCGAACAAACAGATGGTGTTATATGGGTTGTTGATTCAGCCGATATTGATAGAATGGATGATTGTAAGCGTGAACTTGGTTCATTGTTGGTAAGGTTTTATATCATCCATATTATTTTTTGAATAAAATATTTTAAGGTCCTCACAAAGATTTCAGTAGCAATGATATAATAGTTTTGAATTTTTCGCACACTGAACGTGGCAAAAAATTCTTTCTTTTTTAAAAATTTTGATTTTAAGGTGGAAGAAAGATTGGCCGGAGCATCGCTTTTAGTTCTTGCCAACAAACAGGATTTATCATCCAGTGCAAGTTCGGAAGAAATTGAAGAGGTTAGAGATCTTTTATTTTTGTTCTTATGAACTGGTTTATCTGTTTTTGAGGATAATGTTTTGTTATCAACATATAAGAACAAGTAAAGTAATAATTTTACGGTTTCACTAATCAAATAATTACAGCGAAAAGCATTATTCTCATAATATGTTTAAAGATTGACTAATTTGATTTTCGTTAGTTTCGTTAGTTTAACTAAACTATAGCTTAGCATTGGTTTTATTTTGTGTGACAATATATCTTGTTAGTTTAGTATATTTAAAGTTATAGTTATTGGGTTTGCGCAATTTAAAATCACATCACTGGAATATATATGGATGTAGTGCATTTACTGGCGAAAATCTTCTTGAAGCAATTGACTGGCTCTGTGTTGACATCTCCTCTCGGTTGTTTACGTTTAATTAATTTATTACCACAGTGTTTTTTTTTTTTAATTAGCTTATTATATACTTCATTTTCTCTATGCTTTGTATGATTTTTTATATTTTCTCGCCTAGTCGAATTTTGACAGCATTATTCTTGTTATGATTGTCTCTTTTTATTAGAGTAGAATAGTAATAATACATAACTGGAATGTGGAAAAGATTGAAAGATCTACTAATTTATCAGACTGAAAAGTAAGTTGAAAATTCAGATATGTATGTGACTTGTTAATTAGTACAAAAAACCCCTTGTACGAATTTTATGTTTGGAATTACCCATCACTATATGGTTCCCATTATTTTTAAAAAATTTTAACTGTTTTGCTTTACGTGTAAATAGGTTATTCAATGTCTTTTAATGTGTTATTGTTCTTATCAGCCTCAATACCTTAAATTAAAACTTCTCCCATTATCCGTCGTTGGTAGCTGTAATTTATAGAGTGCGGTTGTTATAGTTTTTATGTTATCTTTAAACTGTTCCTTTTCTTTGTTGAGAATACAATTAATAATTTTCGAACACTAGCAAAGTTGCTGGTCAGATCCCACGGTGATTTCAAAGTGCTTGCTGGGCAGGTTTTCTACATTTTTTTTCATCCTTTTTTTTGTCGTGTTATTAAAATAAATTTGAAATACTGCATACTTATCATTTGTGTCTGTTGGAGGTTCAACTCCATTATTACTCTAGTATTTCGAAGCAGTAGATGCTTATAGAGTATGCTTATAGATTACGTATTTATTGAACAGTAAACTGTTATATTGACTTCAATTTTAATGCAGAATTTGCAAAATGAATATACTAGGTAGATATAATAAATTATGTGCTTTTATTGTTTTATGCTTCTGTTTGATATAATTTTTGTTGTTTTTCAGAAACAGACTACTTTTTTTTTCAGGTTTCTATTTATTTTTGTGGATGGGGTTAACTTCATTATCTGTCTGTTTTTTTTTTCTCAAGAAAGAAAGGGCAAAATATTTGCAGGTTAGAGTGTGTGTCAGGTTAGAGAGAATATTTGCAGGTTAGAATTTCTCAATGCATTTATCGGGAAGATAATGCTAGAATTATTTTTTATTAGAAAGGTTTATTGTCAGGAAGATTTAGCTATATAGAAAGAAGTAATTCACGTAATATAGAAAATGAATATTATTACTTTTTTAATATTATAGAAACCCTCTATTCATGTAATCTTAACATTGGCAGGATAATAATATTGGAATAGGATAGATATTATATTAAACAGTTGTGAGCGCATGTAATCCATCTCATTAATTGACCAGAAAGCAAATTCACTAATCATGTATTACTAAAATAACTCTTTTATTCGAAATATTTTTTTTTTTTTTTTTTGAGAAAGAGAGAGATCTATGTGCTGTCTTTAATGATATTATCCATTGCTTATGTGAAAAACGAATCCAAGGATCGATCGCTTTGCTTTTTTCGATTTTCCTTCTGTGTTATTTAAATGTTATTCTTAACGTAAAAGTGGTCGTATTGCGACTAACATCTCCTTTATTACTGCTGTTATTACAAATGCTTTTTTTTTTGCTTTATACTACTTTGTACAGAGATTGTAACAACTGTTGTTATATTTTCCATCTAAAAAACGCATGCATTTATAATTTATATATTGAGATTTTTATTTGACGAATTGTTATAAGTTTTACAATAGTCAGACCTATTAATTTTGTCTTCAGTAGGATATTTTCAATAATCTGTCACTTATGTCACGGACGCGATAATGTCTTAATTCCGCATTATTTTAGATTCAAAAGTTTTCACTGATTTGATTTTCAGAAACTCATAGACTCGGAAGATATGCACTTGGTTATAGAGAAATACCGGAACGAACAGAGTATAACACAACCACCTGACCCAATTTTGGTACCTTTCCTGCGAAACAGTCGAGAATGCGTAGTAAGTGCGATTATGGAATTCATAAGCTACAATTTCATAATGGATAGTCCACCGAAATATCGTGATTCTGAAGGAGATATGATTCTTTTGGAAACAAGAGAAGCTTTTGAGGTACTTTGTAAAAGACTTTGTTATATTATGAGGACGAGATTGGAATTGCAGGAAAATGCTATTTATATAAGTCGTAACTTCTTGCCGTTAGTAGATTAATATATGATGATGCTACTTTTATGATTTCTTTGGGTTTTCTAGAATAAGCAATTAACTATTAGGTTTGGCATTTTAACCATCTAATTTGGTTTAATATTACAAATTTTTTATCTTTAATTGGTTTCAGACTGCCTTCGATGATGTAATGCAGACACCACTTAAGTTATTCGTAGTCCATATAGATGGTTTTTACAATTTTGGACTGCCAAAAAAGCAAGACACTAACGTGTTTACCGCTGTTAGTTTTTTTTTTTTTTTCTTTTACATTATTAATTGTTCTGATTGTATTCATGGAATGAATTGCTCGGAAGACTAGAATTATTATTTGAATGTGATTATCCGAGAATGTTAATTCAATTTAATTTTTCATTTTTAATATTGTAAGACAGCGATGATTTTTACAGGAACAAGCAAGTTCTTCTTCTTTTAATACTTGTGCAAGAGACGGCATGGGAGCTGTTTTAATGGATCAGGTAAACTTGCTTAATAATTTTTTATGTTTTATTAAGCATGCGTTTGCAAACTTGGAACATTACGGGAATGACATCAGTTTAAAGGAACATGGAATCGTGAACTGTGAAATTTCTTCAGTGTGTTTAATAAATTACGATTTTGGGCAAGATTAGTCTTTCTAGTGAATAGAACGACGTATTGATCAATCCATATTTTCCAGCATGCAGTTACGCTTTTGCCTGAAATGTAATGATAATATTGATATTTCCGTGGAGATTGCTTTGAAATTGTTGGGAGCTAGAGCTTTTCCGTTTCATTTTTTGATCTATATGTTATAGATTATAAGAGAAATCAAGCAAGAGGTGAATAAACAAATTGCTTGTCATCCAGTAATCAATAAACTGAAACAGTTCATGGCTAAATTTAAAGAGCAAAAAACATATGCAGCATGCTGCAGCGAACAGAAATCCACTCAAAGTATGGTTGTAATTTGTTTATTTTCATTTGTAATTAAAACGACTAGCTGGAGCTTGCATTATGTTAGATTTGTTGAGTATGACTCGTACATTTTCTTTGCGGAGTTATACTTGATACTATTTGATATAGAAATACGTAATCAGTAAAAAACGCTGCATTATATTAGATATCCATTCTTCCCACAAATAGCTGAATTCTTATCTAATACAAATTGTCAAAAGTTCCAAATTTTCACTTATATTAAAATTTAGTGTTTCCAGCGGATATGTATGATGCTACTGTTGGTTCATCGTCATTAGCAGTATTAGAAAGTCAATGTTCGTCGAAAATAGCACCCGAAGAGGATGATTTCACTGTCTTTCAGTTAGTTGACGAAAGCCCAGTATGGGATGTTAAGGCAATTTATGAAAGAAAAACATTGCCTTTAACGAAATGGGAAAATCCTGTAAGTTTCAGCTACTGATAATTATTGGAATATGGAAAACATTTCGTGAAAGATTGCAGTAGATCTAGAATGGGCGGTGGAAAAAAGTTGGGTCCCATTTCTCTTCTCTTGAATGCCTTTCAAATTTCAATTAATTACTTTCTGTACTTATGTTTTTTTTTTTCATTAAATGAAAATTAAATGAGCTGATTGTTTGATTAGATTGACAATTTTCATAAAAATGTTTCAGAGCTCATCTGATCTAGTGAAAACCGTTCGTGAAGGAGAGGGAATTTTTTCTAAACGGTGGGTTCTTCGTCGATTTGCTTGCAGAAGATGGGAAAATGTTTCGGTAATTTTCTGATTCTCATAATTTGTAAGCAGTACTTTAGTGTTGGTTGCAAATATATAATTATTATTATAAAAATGTTAAATGATTGTTAGAATTGATTTCTTGAGATCCGCAGTGCCTTTTTTATTGTTAATTTCAAAATTGAAAAAAAAAATTGTTAGCAGTTAGTCTTATCTGTTTGATTTGTATTCACTTTATTAATTAAATAATAATTCAGGGCTACTTGCCAGTTATTTAACCACCTTCTTGTTGATATTTTAACTTCAGATAATTAGTGAAACGATACCTGATATGCTAGAAATATATCGTTCAAAGATAACTGTGACGAATTTGCCAGAAAGTGGCCAGGTTGTTGATTTCACCGTGTGGGTGAAATGCTCTGCTTCAACAGGATATTTCTGTGCATCTTGGCGACTTCATAAAATAATTGAGGATGGTAGAAATTCGATCCCTGAAGGACCAAGGCTGGTATTTGAAATCTTTGTGAATCCATTCACCGATGAAAATTTAGCTATCGGAAGGTCTGCCTTTTCTAAGGTATGTGTGTTTTACTGCTGATTTTTTCTAGCAGATATATAATATCATTTCTGGACAAAGATTTTCATTGAGATGGCAGATATTAATATTACTAGTTGATATAACATTAAAAAGATGGCCAATTAATTGTTAGTATTTCGTAAGGATTGGTCTACCTTGCCATTTCATTTTTTTTTTTTCTGTGATTTACAAGCAGGACATGAAAGAATGTTTGAATTAAATATAGTCGTATTACAGGAATTGGATTCGTTTTCATATTATACCGCAGTCAGAGATGAGGAACAAACTATCGATGCACGTTGTTTTTTTCCATTTGTTAATATTTGTAACTATATTTTTATCCTCCATATATTAATATTAGATGAGGAACAAACTATCGATGAACTTTCTAAATGGAAAAAAAACTTAAGGAGAAAAGTTTTAAGTTTGGTAGATTGTTTGTTAATTTCACGATGTTTAACTCAAAAATGCATATATGAATTTTGGATAAATAAATTGTAAGATTCAAACACTTAAATTTCAGGTTGTTCACGCATCAGGAGGGTTTACACGTTCTGAATTTTAGGATACTCGTGAATTGGAGGAATTAACGAGCTCTGGGTCTATTTCAGCATCTGATTATGAAGTGATTGATGGTGGAGATGCTTTGGATGATTCTAAGGCGAAGTAATGATCGAAAATAACAGAATCTAACAACCAGGATTTCGTTGTTTGGTTGGGTATAGTTGTGTATTTCAGAAAATCTTGCAAATGAAACATTATGAAAGGAAATGTGCTTACGTATACTTAAAATCGCTCTATATACATGTGTCATATCATAATTTATCTTCCAAAAATGTACATTTATGTCATAATTTATCTTCCAAAAATGTATATTTGTATCATAATTTATTGTCTGCGGAAAATATGCCCTTTTTAATAACATATCATTAATTAGCAAACTGTATGAATTTTTGAATTCCTTTTCAAATTCATATCTGCGGAATTTTAACTGCTCAAAAATCTTAAATGATTTAGCGTCGAATGCCCTGTTTTTTCATTTTCAACTTCATTTTAATCAAACTGTTCATTATAGTTTTGTATCATATGTTTTTTGTTTTTATTGGTTCACTTTAATGGTTCTAAAAGCATTAAATACACTTAATTATGGAACGCTTCAACTAAATATCCTTCATTTAAAGTCTGCATTATCAAATACGTTATTGTAACGCGTTTGTCATCCATGTTCTTTCCTGTACATTTCACAGTGATTTAGCTGACCTCCAATCTACCCTGTATACTACTTTTGTTATACTATCTCGTACTGTAACCGTCATCTATGTTCATACTTATACATTTGGCTATGCTATAATTGACCTCTGTACATCATCTATATAACTACTGTATCATTGTTTACCCTCATATTATTTCTTGTACATTTCGCTGCGGTATAACTCTAATCTCTATGAAAATTTCCAATTGTTCCTCTCAGTTACTTTATTATAATCCAAATTATTAGTGTTCCGGAATATCCCGGTTATTATTATTTTTTTTTTTGGATCTTTCAAATCTATTGATTGAATTAGTCCATAATTTCAAATTGATCAATTTCTGATCATTCCGACTAATTTGTATATTTTCCAATCAAAAAGTTGTACCACAGTTACTATGCAACTGCAGTTTAATTTTCTTTAAGCTTCTTATTTGTCCGACAGCATATGCGTATTGTAATCTAAATAAAGAGGGGCTGAAGCTGGTGCACCTTTATAGAAAAGATTTGAATATTCTCCAAGTGTACTTCCAGGAACATCTTCTTCAGCATCAAGCTGTATGATTGCTAATGTCATATCTCCTTCCCTTTTGCTGCAATTAATAATTTGAAAGAAGTTTTAATCAATACTTGTTGATAACTAAGATGATCATAATATGCAAAATTTAATTATCTTCTAAATGTATGATATGAATTATCTATCATCAAATAAACAATAAAGAGCTATGATATATGGTTATATTTCGGTATATTATACAAAACAGAAATGATTACTTATCTTTTCATTAAATTTTTCTCTTACTCCAAATTTCATTCGGTACTCATTTAGATTATTAAAATACAACAAATATTGAAGTTAGAAAATTTTTTTTTTTTATATTAAAACAAAAGCAATGATATTATTACCTAAAAATTTCAGTTACAGCTACAATACAATGTGTAACAGTTGCGCGTAACATTGGTACTATGCAAAATTGACTTTGAGCCCAAACATATCCACGAATACGATGCAGTAATCGATAGTAGCCTGTTGTTGATTGATTCTTATGTAGTACTGAAAATTTAATAAATTTAAGCAAATATTTTTTAAATAGTCATTTATGATTAGCAAATGTCATTGTTCATTATTTATTTTCAATTACCTTCCATTTGCAAGAAATTATTTATCTTCTTTTTTTCTTTTTGCATAATAATGCTATGTTTACGACTAACTAGAGAATACTAGGTGAGATGATTTTATTAAGTATCAATTCTTGATTAATTAATGATTAAAGTAGCACTTATCAAATGATATAATGATACAATTTATCTAAATACTTTGAGCAGTAATTTCAATATGCATAATATTCGAGAAGAAAATATAGTCGTAAATATAAAATTAATTATGAATAACAAGAATTCATATTTAATGCATACAAATTTTATGTGCTTTTTCGATGGTATGTGCATCTTCCAGAAGTACCATTTGATATAAGGATGTATCAAGGAGAGATGAAGCACCAAAACCAGTAAGTGCTGTTACTCTTCGAAAAAGAACAAAAATAAAAGCTAAATTTGGAACAATAGTAAGTTTTAAAAGTGCACTTAAGAAAATTTTTGATTGCAAAAGGTGCATAAAATTTTGAAGAGGTTTTTTTTAATTTAGAAAATTCAACAAAGCAACCTTGAATCAACAAAAATAATATTTAAATCAAGACGAGCACGAAACATAAATGTTGATGAGGAAAGTTTCAATTCGGTGATGCCACTTCGTGTAAGCATATATCCAACAGCTAATAAACCCATATTTGTAATTCTTTCTCCATCATGACAAATTTTTGAATAACCCCAACAACTGATCGTCTGTAGATGATGATATTGCAATTGTTATCAGTCAATTATACTAGTGGTATCAGTACAAGCTAATTAAAGCTAATTTAAATTAGACTAGCAAAATAAATATTAGTAATTAACTTATCTAAATTTTTGGATGAGTTGATTAATTTTCTTTAATACTTTGTTCACTGAATTATTATTACCTTATGCTTTAACATTATTGCTTAAATACCTTATCATGCTTAATCATTTATCATATGCCTGTTTGAAAGATTGGAAGTGATGTCAATTTAAAATAATTTAATCAGTTATTTTAAGCATTGTATTGATTTCGAAGTAAAAATCTGCTTATTCTAGAATATATTCATAATTTTAAATTTATTAAATTCAATAGGATTAATAAATTAATGAAAGAATTTTTTAATTTAAAAAATTGGTATGAAAGGAAAAAATGAATTAAATTTTATAAATTAGATGAAAAAAAAAAGAAAAAAACTTTTTTTCCAAAAACCTTATAACCATTATAAATAATTCCAGCATTTCGTTTAGGTAAAACACATTTTAGTCGTATGAAAAACATTCGTTCTATTTCATCGTTATATGATTGGTTACTGCTTGTTGAGAATTGACTACTACTAGTAGTAGTAGTAGTAGTAGTACAATTAAAATCAGTATTGGATAGAATATAACGTAATTCTGGTTCATCATCACGATGAAGAAAGTCAAATATAGATGAACCAATTAATTCTACCTTTAAAAAACGAATGAGAAAACAAATTATGAAAATTTATATCACAGTAATTTCCAATTTAAAGAAAAAAAAAGTTGTGCAAAATTAAACTTAGCATAGTTTTTATTTGTTTATTTTCGTAGTTTAAAAGTAGCTAAGGTTAAAAAAAAATTTTTTTAATTAATATTGGTAATTTTTAATTATCTAACAAATGAACTATAATAATGAAATAAATTTTAGAATAAAATTTAGTTAGAAATAAATTTTAGAATAAAATTTTGCACATGTAATTCATTCATAATATAATCATATGAAACGAAATAATTAGGCATAATTCCTATTTAATTGGCAAAAAGAAAAGCCAAAATGTGTGCTTTACTGTTTAATACTAGAAAGCAAATCTGGATGTTTCAATTTTTTATTTTAACTATACATATATTCTTTTTCATTAGTGAAATTAGTGATTTTGTCGAGGTAATTGATAATTTTATAAATATAATTGATCATTTCATAAATACAATTAATTTCATCATTACGATTAGTAATTAATAAGTTTCACAATCTTTGATACATTTTAAATTAGAAAATTATTTCTCATTTTTTTTTTTTGATATTAATTACATAAAAGTGTGAAAGTTCAAATATACCTGTAAAATATATACCTGTGAAAGTCCTAAATGAACGGAAGCAGTCTCTGAAACATACATCATTTTACCAGTAGCATCAAGAATAAGTACAAAGCCATCCAATGTTTGAAGTAAGAATGAGCCAATTGCCATTGTTTCAATTTGTTCATTACTATTTCGTGGCGGAAATACATTTCGTAGTGCCAAATATGCTGATGTTAAGCGAACAATTGATGCCTTTGAAGTAGTAAAATTCAAACAAACTTATTCAAATTGTTTTATTTATTTCATTTAATTTCAACTTTTTTTTTGGGGGGCATAAAATCCTCTTGTTATTTTTCATCTAATTTCGCATTTCAATATTTCAATTCATACTGAAAAATTTTGCATCACATATCAATTAATGTATTTGATGCAGATTATAAAGACTTTACATATTATTTCTCTTATCACCTTATCAAGTTGAAATGTTATTGCAGCAGCAAGCGGTAAACATTGTGCTAATGATTCCAATTCTTTATTTTCCAGATCTCGTCGATTTCGAGCACTCATTCTTAAATGTAACTTATTGATAAGAGATAGGAGAGTTGATAAAAACAACAACAATAATAATAAGTGATGTTAATATTAATAATAATATCAATAATAATAATAATAATGATAATAATAATAATAATAATAATAATAATAATAATAACAATAATGATAATACTAATACTAATACTACTACTAATAATAATAATAATAGCAGTTCAAATAAAGCGAATGTAATTTTTTGAATTAATATCACAACAATATAACAACCATTTAATAGATTAAAATGATATTTACACCATACAGAGAAAGTGATAAAATTTCGATGGATTCTGGTATAACATTGATGCTTTTTAAACAAATTTTGATATGAGATTAATACTTTTTAAATTTTATTACAAGGCTGATATATTTTAAATTCTAATGTAACATTTGCGCTTTTTGGATTTTAATATGAAATTAATCATACTAATAGATCTGTAGGATAATAAATCATTAAAAAAATAAGATTTGTTTAATTTACAAAAACACTGAAAAAAATGTACTAAAAAAAAGAAAATCTAATGGAAAGGTAAAATTTACCGTAAATTAAATGAATTTTATTAAATCTAAAATAATTCCATAAATAGTCGAATTTCATAAAAATATGAAAAAACTAAAATATCAATCATGAAAGAAAGATTAAGAAGGTAAGGCAAAGGGAAAAAAAAAATCAT